TTCACGAAGAAGACTAGAACAAAGGAATCATGTTCAAATCTTACGGCTCTACGACCTGTGAGGTCTGTTAGTTTCCCGTTTACCAATCCGCCCATGATACCTCCAACCATCACCATTGAACCGAAAACCGAATACTGCACGGTAGGAAAAACAGGCTTAATCAAACTCAATGACTTGAAGCATTTTCAAATTTCAAGGTGAAAATATATGATGCATACAGCTGCAATAGAGAAGTCCAAGTCTTCAATGATTCCAGATTCAGCAGGTGAGGTATATCCAATCTGCAGGGGAATCATGTTCAAAATTTTCCTTTAACTTGTGTTCCAAGGAACATAAATATCCAAATTGTTAAATCTCATAATTCACAACACCAAATTGAATTTTAGTCACCGTATTTAATTTGCACTTAAATTACTAAACAAACACAGAATTCATTCTTTTCATATTTTCCTCAAAATTATAAAAAAAAAAAAAAAAAAAAAAAAACTTGATAGCTCAGAGAAGAAGATATAAAGATGGTGCTTACAGCACAACCAGCAAAGAAAGCACCAGAAAGAGCAACCAAAGTGCTGAGAACAACAACTGGGGTGACTGAGGAGCCATTTCCTTGTTTTTCATCTTCTTCTGTCTTTTCCTTATCAATCATAGGCCTTCTCAAAACTCCACCTTCTTCCATATTCTCTCTCTCTCTCTCTCTCTCTCTCTCTCTCTCTGTATGTACTGAAGGAATACAATAATGTGGAGATGGAAATCTATTGCTCTACTCAATTGATCAAAGAGAGATTTCTTCCACTAAATTGCTTCTCATTATCAATGAAGATTTCTTTTACAGTTGAATTGTAGCTCCTGCCCTTAATAAGATAAGAACTCATTTGATCACATCACATGTACGTCAGTGGTTCAACAACGTTATTATGTTTTTCTTTTTTTTCAAAACCCACGGGAAACTATTGTAGTATTTTAAGTCAAAGTTTCCTCCGTTTTTTGACGTAAATACAGTAAGCAAAGTAGGAATAATCTGGTTCATGTGACCTGAAAATTTCTCTTATGAATCATTCAAAATCTACACATAATATATTCCCATTTATTATACGTGTGTGTGTATGTATGTATATATATATATATATATATATTTATATTTTTATAAATATCCCACTTGAATCTTTCCTATCAGTATTAACCTTTAATAGGAGTGAGAATAAAGACTTCTTTCTGGGTTCATTTTGTTGAATAGCTTTTACGTATGATAATCAAAGATGACCCTTTTATTGGTATGCGGTGATTAACATTCTCGATCTACTTCTGATCACCAACATCTCAACAACAATAAAAGTTCCTTAACTTCATGAATAATGTATTGTTAACACGGCTTCACAAGAATACTTTATTCGATCTAATCCTACCTCCAAATTAATCATTTGTTGTATGATCTATTTCCGGTTGAAATAAAAAGATTTAATTATTAAAAATTTAACACGAAAAAATCGTCTCTACTATATCAAGGTTTCGGGCCTTCGGCTCGCTTTTTAAGTGGCGTCTTTTTTTTTTTTTTTCTTTTCTTTTGAAGGGTTAAGTGGCGGCGTCTTTTGAATAAATATAAATATAAATAATGAAAAGAAAATCAAGTGGAGGACTATTTTTAAGGGCACAAAAATAATAAAATTACTTTTTTTTTTCTTTTTTAGTGATAATGGTACTACTACTAATAATAATAATAACAATTTCAGTAAATAATAATAACAATAATGACTACAATAATTATGAAAAAAATAATCACAACTTTAATACGTGCAAGGCTTGGGGAAGGGGGGGACCATGGGGTGATAACGTGTTGGTTGTGTTGCATGACACCAAAAAAAACAAAAAGAAAAGACATAATTATTTGTCGCGAGTATAATGTAAGAAAATATTAAAAAATGAAAATAGATGGAGTGTTTCTTGTTTTCCTGATGTACTTAGAATTAAAAAGTACAGAGAACGTTTAGTTTATGTATTTAGAATTATTTTTATTTTATGTGTATTTTTTATAAAAAAAAATATTATAAAAAATTTTAAATCATAATTTAAAATTAAAGATGAATATAAAAAATAAACGTCACATAAAGTGAAATTTTGAGGGTCGAGAGTCTTATATGACTAGGAGAAATAATAAATTAATGGGAAATCAAATCATACACTAGCTGTTGCGTTCCTGACTAACTTTATTTCCATTCCATTGAAATACGTTACAGTAGGACATTTTAGCTAATAGTTTCTTTATATAACTTAGTTTTTGTAATACCTAAATTTCGTAAATACTAAACAACGAATTGGACTATCATCAACAAAATTTCGAAAATACCTAAATTTCCAATAAATTTCGTAAAGAAATAAGAAGAGACATTTGTTTTATTCTTTTCTTTCTTTTTTGGATAACATTTTTATTCTTTTCATTAATTTCCAAAGCCTTCCCGTCGCAAGAAACGTAATTATTATTTAAAGCCCACTCTCCCTCCAAGAGAGAGATCAATTCTTACCTAACACACATATATATACACATAAAAAATAATAATAATGGACATGTCATGGTCATTACCTACCACGTAACATTAGCGCCAATTTTTTTTTTTCCTTTTTTTGGCAATTTCTTTTGGTCTCATGGTAGCAAAAGTCTGCACTAATTTTTCAGCTTGTCCGTGCTTTCTTTTTGGCATTACCGAGATTGTGAATCAAATATAGCGAAAACTGCATTTTTGGAGGTTGGAGGCTTATCTTGTTCATCAATCCCACCCGACAAATGACGAGGGGCCAAACATAATATATCTATATACACACACACACACACACACTTCTTTTTAGGTGGAGCCGTAGACTTTGAAATAAACATATTCGTCAAATTTCTTATCCAAATAAAAAAGAAATATCATGGCATTGGTTCTTCAATTCTTTTTGCAATTTTTTTTAAGGAGCCTTATAAGATAAATTAGCACCATGCCCCCATAGAAAAATAAATTACCCTACAAGTAGGATATATATACGCATATGTATATATTATTATAGCGTGTATTTCTGAATGTTAAATCTAATTAAAACCATATTAAAATGAAAAAAAAATAAATACACAAAAATTAATAGAATCTAAAACATATATAATAAAAAGAAAGTCTTGTTGATAAGTTTCAAGTATTAGAGCACATCCAAGAGAGTTTTTAGAGCTCAACATTTGAGTGAGTTTGGTTGGCTTTTGGAATTTTCAACCCACCTAAACTTGAATAGATTATTGAAATATATTAACCCACTCAAACATCCAAAATTCGGACCGTACAATTAATCAGAAAACAGAAATTAATTCACCCAAATAAACTAATGATTTAATTGGGTGGATTAAACATTAAAAAATAACAAAAAGTAAAACTAATAATTTAACTTCAAATAAGAAATTTTGGGGAATTTTTGTTTTAATAATCAAAATTTTCACATGTATTATAGATAAATATGCCTATTAGACTAAACTCACCGCTAAATGAATTAATACATTTGTACACAAAATGCCCTTGACGTTCATCAACTCGTTTGCGCATGACGAAAAACTATGCACGAAAATTAATGTGTGTTTGAAACTATGCAAAGAGCAAATAATGTGTTGTGAGTTCTGTTTTATTCTTTCATTAGATTGTGAATTGAAGGTATTAGTGATTATCTCTGGTTAAGAAAAATACTACGATTGTTTGTATGTCATATAAGACAATTAGATTAGCAAAAGAAAATTAAAAAAAAAATGTTTGGTGAGACAGATCATAAAATTCCAAGGTTTTTTTTTTCTTTTAATTTAGGGTGCATGGGGAATTTTAAATTCCACTACAGTCAGGTGGGAATTTATTGTTAGGCTCCCCGTAATTACCCGTTCGGTTCGCTAATTTGAGTTTTTAATTCGAGTTGAGATGTGATGTTATGTGAAAGCTTTTTACTGTAGTAAAAAAATTAGATGTAACTGTTTCTGAGAGCTTTTTACTGTAGCAAAACTCGAATTTTAAACTCAAATCAACGAAAAGAACGGGACCAAGATTCCAATTTCTTTCCTCTCAATCTGTAGTTATATGATGCATATAGAAACAAAGAAAAGCTACTGCAGGTAATTACATTGGTAATGATAATGCTTGTTCTGCTACTGAAAACATATTTGAGAACAAGTTGTACGGCACATAATTCTCCCCACATCTCACTTTTACTAGCCTGTTAGTAACACAAACAATTTTATCTTTCTAATTTTATCTTTTGCAAAAATTTCATATGAAATTCTTAAATATGATTATCAATATATCAGTGCAATATTATATTTTCTAATTATTTTTCATGAGGAAAATATCAATAAATAAATATGCTAATTCAACGTATAATATAAGTTTAACTTGAAGATATATATAGCATTTGCATCTTCAAGTATGGGGATGCAAACATGGATAAATACAACCAACCTATAATTATGTTTTTCAAATTAAAACATAACTAATAATCTTTCTAAAATAATAGTGTAAAGTTATTAGAAATTAGTTATAAAATTCACATATATGATATATCAAATAACGATTAAACAAAAACAAAAACAAAAAATATCTCTAATGATGATTCAATAAATGCATCTAAATAGAATATGAAAAGGTTGGTTGAAGTACAAAAGTTGGGAAGAGAGGCATTCCCTCTTTTATATATTTAATCACATTCTATATATACAGGTTATGCATGGGAGACAAATTAATGGGATTAAAGCCCCGTCTAATGCCCCTTCCCATGACATTGGACTTAGATTTTCTATTTAATTTTGGTACTTCAATTGGTGTTTAATCAATCATATCATTTTGTGTTGTATAAAAAATTTGAGCTACTTTTTAACTAACTCATTTGCATTTATTATAAAATGATGTGATATGATTTGATTAGTTAGACATCAGTTTAAGACACCAAAAACTAGACAGAGAATCTGTCCCACGACATTAGACCAACCATAAAATTCTTTATTTAAATCATTATTAATCTGATCATAAATATTTGTAGTAGAAATTTGAATCCCAATAATGCAAAATGTAATTTTTAATAGTGGGGAGGGACTATTCATGAATAATGGATGCTTGTATTTCTTCCAGAGTTCGCCCCTTGGTTTCTGGTACCATCTTCCAAATGAACAAAATAGTACCACCAGAAATGGCAGCAAATATTAAAAAAGTACCTGAAATAAAAGTCCAAAACCCACCAATTTGTATTACAAATCGTCAATAAAAATATAATCAGGCGCAGAGAAATAGGAAATGTTGAGTAAAAGCCTCACCTGCGGAATTCCATTGAAACATAAAGTTGTAAGTGTAGGAAATGACCCAACTACTAGAATAGAGTATCACGTATATAATACTTCCAGCTGAACCCTTTACGTTCATAGGAAATATCTGAAGAAATGGAATCATAAATATTATTATAAAAGCTTCATTGAAATACTCAATATTATAAAATTTCCCCAGAATAAGAAATATGTTTACATACCTCTGACGAGATGATCAATGGTATTCCAGCCAAACCTAGGCTATAGAAGCCGACGTACACCTACGATTGCAGATTCATATATCGTCGTTATTAATCATTTTGATACGCCCGTTATGCATTAATGTTAATGTCACAACACGTGCAAATAATTACGTATTGGTGATGTAGAGCTAAAACCCTTTGGGAAAAATGTTGAGTAAGATACAAGATAATTTGACTCCTCAGTCCTTTTATTCGATATTAATATACTCTCTTTTTATTTTTTTCTGCTAATAGAATGTCACATCAATTAAATTATCACGTCAATTGAAATAATATTGTGAATTAAAATGTATACAATTAAAAAATGTGGTATAATATTATATATTTGGATGAAACAAAAATGAATAAAACAAAAAGAGAGACATGTGAGGCGAATCTGAAAAATACTTCTATACTTTCTTAATTTAAGATTTGTTTCTCATATCATTTTCTTCTTGCTTGCTAGTATACATGCATGCACGGATGGAGCGAAATGTTTCAAAATTATGTTCACTTGTAAGATCAAATCAAGAAAGGAATTAGGAGGGGAAAAAACAGTCTCGTATATGCTTTTCAAATATTGCATGCAATTACCAATACACCAATAAGCGACAAAACAGGAGAATTCCTTTCCCAAAAGTGAAGATTATCCTGCTCAATATATAAAACACTAGTGTCATAAACGAGTTAAAATTCAAACGTGAATATCTAAAAAGTATCTAAGATGACGTTTGATTCATGAGTTTAAAATTATAGTTCATGAGTCTGATTTTTGAAATTTAAATTTTTTATGAGGGAAAAATAATGTAACAGAACTAAGAACCATGATCTTAAACCAAGCAGAACTCTTGAAACAAACGTCACTTAAATTTTTTTCTTTAATGGTGAACCTGCAAGAAGAATGACAGTCCAATAAGGAGGCTACCCAAGCATGTTCCAACTGCAGATATCTGCCAAAAAAAAAAAAAAAAAAGATTTCTGCCCTGGAACGTCTATTTAACTATATAGTAAAAAGTTCTTGAGACAACTATTTTTATCCTTACTAGTAGAAGTGGTCTCCTTCCAAACTTATCTATGAACAAGACTCCTAGTATTGCCGTCAGAACCTGTCAAAGAATGTGCACTTTTTTTGTCTCTGGGAAAAGAGAATATATGATTTCTGTTTTATACGACTCATATTTGCACGTTAATTAGAATTAGATATAACCTGAGTTGTTCCAACGGCTACACTCCCAAACCTACTTGAAAAACCTGTCACATATATATATATACACACACACACACACACACACACACACACACACACACACACAACAACAACATCATATTTTTCATTTGTTTTTAGTACTGTCTTTCTCTTTTCCTAATGGAAGCGTTGAGGGGAAAAAAAAAAAAAAAAAACCGGGGATTCATGAATGATTAATTTACCTGCAGATTGAAATATTGAACTTGTGTAAAAAGAAACCGCACCGGACCCTCCAAACTGTGGGAGCGCTACAAGGCCTATTCCAATCTAATCGCGGTTTCCAATTACACCAATTATTTGTTAGAAGGAAAAAGATCATGTGAAAACAAAGGTCACAAAATAATATATGTAGATATATTTATGGCTTACAATGAGACAGCGTGCATACTTCCTCTGGAATACACTTAGAATTCCATCTTCAGAGGTCCTATTAGAATGCTCTATGTGATCCTGTCAAGAAGCGATAAAAATCGCGTCTCATTTTTATGTAAGAAAAAAAGAAATGAGTCTCAAAAGATAAATATTGAGCATGCCATGGACTGATGTGAAGTAAAATGTAGTACTTTGATATCAGCTTTCTCTTTGGAAATATCCGCCTTCTCTCCCCTAAGGCGGCGGAGGGCATTTTCACACTCTTCAGCTCGACCGACTTTCATCTGCAAAGGAAAAAAACTCGACTCATCACTAAATTTGTATAGTACCATACGGATTTCGTATATTGATCAGTTTTTTTGCATCAGGATTTTCCACTATCATGTTTTTTGCTCATTAATATCAGAGTTTGTGTTTCTCCTTAGTTAAGTAATTATGCAAGGAAATAATGATAGATTAACAGAATTCTGAATTGCACTAACCAGCCATCTAGGAGACTCAGGAATCATTAACAGGCCTGGAAGCTGTAACAGATATGGAACAACCCCTGAAAGTAAACTCACATATATACCTAAAGCCATTTAAATGCCAAGTCCTGTTTTGTATGCCAACAAATTCTAAACACACAAGCAAGAAGAATTGACCTATTAGCGATAAGGTTCGCCAGTTGACAAGAGGACCTATGAGGAAAAAAACTGCAGTGCCAAAAGTTGTTGTCAACTGCAAATGTTGTAACATAAGCACACAAAAAAATGACGGATACGATCAAAATTCGTCGTCAAGATTTGGATTTCAATTAAACTTATTAACCGATCTTAAAATGCAACTTGAATTACTGAATACGTACAGCTACCACCGACATTAAGGCTCCTCTCACATTCTGGGGGGTGATTTCGGCAACAAATATGGGTCCCTGAATTTCAAATTCAAATAGTCATTCATACATATTGGTCAATAATTATTAATTGCAGGTGATGAAACTTTACACTTGTTAGTTACCGCATAGGAACAAAGTCCAATTGAAAATCCCAGTAAGAATCTTCCAACATCAAGCCACAAAGCACCCTTTCAAGAAGAATTGAAAAAAAAAAAAAAAAAAAAAAAAAAAAAAAAAAAAATATTTTATTGCTCTGCTGGGGTTCTGGATTGTATTGATCATGTTACAAAAAGGAAAAAAAGAAAAAAAGGATACTTAATTTGTTTCTGTAAAATCACAAAATTACCTCCACAAATTAGTGTCACTTTTAGAATTAATTTACACAGGTGGTACTTTTGGACCATTCTTGCCAGAGACTGCGCATTCTATGGCCTATTGTTTTCTCACCCCCACAAAGACATATTTGATGGAATTACGCATGATCTCTTCCCAATTTTCCAATCTCTCTAAGTTAAGATCATATATGAAAAAGACTTGAAATTTTACACTATGACATGTTCTGTAATTACTTAATTAGTCAAAGAGTAAAAATAAAAATAAATAAATAAAAAGAGAAACCTTCGAAAATGTTATAGCAAGCCACCCCGTAATGCTGAACAAATCTGCGACTCCTAGTGTCTGCATCTCAGCAACAACCATTAATAGAGTGTGTAATATTGTTTAAAACCTTTTGTTTTGCCAAACTCGGTCTAAGTATTTTGAGATTAATTAATGAATAAGATAATAGTCACTTACGCCTCTCCTTCCAATAACATCCGCAGTTTTCCCACTCAATACTGCTCCAAATACCATTCCAACGAGAACGATTGAAACAAAAACTGAATACTGCAACATTTAGAAGAAAATGGTCTTTAAGGGAATTTCAGAAAAGAAAGGGGAAAAAACCCCCAAAAAAATGGTAATTCCACTCTATGGTCTCAATATCCACCATGATGAACCAAATTGTAACAAGAGTTGAGAAATAGTCAAGTTGAAAGGAAAATTTTTTCCTTTTTTTTTATATACCCAACAACAGCCCTGTCACTACTCCATTTCATTTTATCAACTATAGAATTTGTCCAAATTATATAAATTGAAGAAAATATTATTGTCACAAACAAAATACACTTTATAAGTTTCTATAATTTTAAGCGGCCGGGTTAATGAAATATATCCCTTGTCACTCGCAAACAAGTAGTGTGTGGCCTGGGCAGTGAGGCTGTAGAGCCACACCTTGGACATATGAATAATGTTAAGCTTCATTTATTTTACTAATTCAAGTTTTTAATTTAAAATTTATTATAATTAAAATCTCTCATAAAAAATATATTTAACTTTTTTTATTATAATTATCATATCTCGACTTAAATTAAAAATTTAGACAAATTGAAGGAGGGCTTATAAGAGATAGAATTTTATTAGTCTCACCTGTGGCAAAGTAAGGCCAAGGTCGTTTATAATTCCAGACTCAGCAGGAGACGAATATCCCATCTGAAAATCATACGTACAGTATGAATGGGACGCACAAGTGAACCAACTGAATCCTGCTTAAAAAATAATAGAGAGAGAGAGAGAGAGAGAGAGAGAGAGAGAGAGAGAGAGAGAGAGAGAGAGAGAGAGAGAGAGAGAATAATACACAGAGAGAGAGAGAGAGAGGGAGATTATGAGATGTTGCTCACAGAATTTCCAGCAGCATAAGAACCGCAATAGAGAACTAAAGTGGTAAGAACGACGGCGAAAGTTAACGGAGACTGCGACGAGGAATCTTGGTTATAGCTACTGCCTTGGCCATTATTATTGTCCAGCTTTTCTCTGCCAATTAGGAAAGGCGTTTCTACTCCTTCCATGCTTTCTCTAGATCTAATATTGCATGTCTTACTCAGTTCTCTGCGTATTTAATTCGACAATTAGGAGAAAGATGACAACCTCTTGTTATATCTCAGTGCATGATCCCCCACATAAAGCTTGGAGAGTTTGTTAGCCATTCCTAAATTATACATATAATTATCACTGAACATTGGCAAAATATAGAATTAGAGTTGATCGTGTTTGCATTTTTTTTCTCTTTTTTTTTTTGGGTTAAAGAAAAATGGTCCTGATCAAGTTTTGGCCACTCAGTCTCAGTGGACTACAGCTCATGCGCACCCAACAAATTATTACCACAACAGTATATCATAGTTATTAATTATTAAAAGTAGCTATGTTTTTGCATTTTGTTTTATTATTGCCTTGTTTATTATCTCGTTGTTGTTTATTAATCTTATGTGTTTGCTATATATGTGATATTGCCTTAATTATTGCTGCTACCTAAGTGTTGTTGTGATTTACAACATACTGTACATCATGTGATGTGAACATGGTTTACATCATGTGATGTTGACTTTACGAACAGAACTTTCTAAATAAACATCAATATCATTAAAATAATTACTACGTTATTTTTGTCATTTTATAATATATATATATATATGATATATTTCAACTCAATTCTCATAGATTTGCTATGTAGTGTAACTATTACAAATTCTTTTTAAGGAGGTTCCTTTCGTGGGCCTGTTATGGGACAATTAATAATTAAATCTATATATATATATATATATATATATCCCATTCGGAACATGACGTGAACCAAGTTTCATTGGGTGCTTAATTAATTATTTGAAATAGATTCTAATTTTGGACATTTTCAGGAACTAATTCAAGTTGTGAAAGAAATGAAGAAGTTTGGGGGAGAAGGCAGATGGAATTTGGGAGGTTTAAATAATATAGTTTCTTAGAGCAACTTCAACCATATTTGTTATTTTATATTTTTAGTTAAAATAATTGATCATTTAATTTTTTTAGCTTTTCTCCACTCTAACTATTATCTAAATGGTTAATTATTTTAGAGAATATTTTCTACACTAGTTAAATATAATTAACATATAAAGTGACTAGTCATTTCATTTTTTATTATGTTATTCTTTTAATTATAATAAATGCAAAGAATCTTTTGTAAATTTAATAAAATTATTTCTATTTTATAATTTTATAAATATTAAAATAATTTATATTTAATTAAAATAAAAAATTTAGTTGAAGTGACTCACTAAAAATTACTAGTTAAAATAGCAATTTATATTTAACGTGCAAGACCGGTTTAATTAAAAAGTTTCAATAAAAGATAGATATCCCACCGGCCAGGACCAATATTAGATTATTATATTTTGGTGAAAAAGTGTACGTTGATTTTGAAACAAAATGCCCAAAAGTAAACAAAATGCTAGTGAAATTAAGCATTTCAAGAAAATGAGTGCCATGTTATTCAAGGAATAATTGCCCAAAAAATTGTAAGAAAACAGATTGAAAAAAAACTATTGCCCAAAAGCAATCAATTAAAGTTAGATGTGATTGTTTGTGAGAGCTTTTTACTGTAATAAAATTTGAATTTTAAACTCGAATCAGCGAAATAAATGGGCCTAAGAAGCTGTTTATCCATGTTCACTCCTTTTCTGTTATCCGTGTCCCTTTTTTTTCTCTATTTTTTTTTCCTTGATAGTTATTTATAATAAGGTTTTTTCTCTAAATTTCTGAACATGAAGTTGGCCAGAAACAAATTCATTGAGGAACTTAGCATAGAGAAAATACCTACAGATTGGTATCTAGTATCTAGTTCTAGCACCATCCCTCAAGTCCCACATATTTTTCCATTCTTAATTTTTTTTCACGGAAAATTATTCTTATATTAGCATTAATAGTGATGCATTACATCGGAACTCATTGGAATCTGGGACTTCTCTCTCTACCGTGGCGGAGCCATGCAATAATGAGTAGGTTCCACGTGCCCCCCACTCAAAACTTTAAAATTTAGATTATATTCTTGAATTTTTTAAAAAATTTTGTGTCCGTTTAATTCTTATATTTAAATTAAATATTTTTAATTTTAAATTTTAAATTTTAAATTTTTTTTATGAGTGAAAAATATTATAATTGAATTAAAATTATAAATTTAAACGTATAAAATAAATGAATTTTTTTTATGATGGAGGACATAATTGCTTTTAAAATTTTACTTAATTGTGTTTAGATCTTTAGGTGCTCTTTTACTATCATTTGAGGTTGTGTTTTAACTTTTCGTAAACGCTGCATTTAATTGGTGAAGTAGCTGCAAGATTAAGAACCGTTTTGTTCATTAGTTCAAATCAAATTATTTTAATTAAAATTTAAATTTTTTATGAGAAAAAATATTATAATAAAATTTTGTAAATTTAAGTTTTTTAAGAAAAATGATATTTAAACTAGGTTAGACTCAGCTACGGGCTTGGTGTCAAATGGGCCGGGCCGTCCATGGACGGCCCAGCCCAGCCCGTAATAGTGTCAGATTCGGCACGGCCCGGTTCGCTACTGTTACGGGCCGTGCCGGCACGGCATGTGTAATGGGCTAGGGCTGGGCCTCAGCTTCTCAGCCCGCGGCCCAAGCACGTGGAGACCCGCGGCACGGCCCTTGTTCGGCCCGGCCCAAGCCCGCGAAATAGCCCATCAAACGGCCCATTTCATTTGGTCTAGGGGCCTTTCGCGGGCCCAAACGGGAGGCATGTGACGGGCCTCCCGTTTGGCCAGTCACGTGCCTCCCGTTTGGCCCGCGAAGGGCCCAACAGCTAAAAACCCTAAAATCTCCTATAAATACCCCTTAATTCCACAATAAATCTCACACAACAATTCACTCTCAACTTATCATCTCACTCCCATTCTATCTCTCAAGTTGTCTCTTTGACTTTGATTATAAGTTTTTCTCTCGCGTTCATTCATTTTCTAGCTCTTTCATTTATAAAGTTCAATCAAGTTCTATCAATTTCCAGAAATGGCCGCTCCAAACTTCCCTGATTTCACTACTCTTCCTGAGCTTGGTGATGAGCCATTTTATGAGGATGAAATGATGCCTCCCAACCCCAACTCCACTGAACCAGAAAATGCTCCGGTGGATAATGCTTCAGTACACAACGAGGAAGTTGGAGAACGCAGCAGAGGAAAAAGACCGCGAACTTCTCCGGCATGGCAGCATTTCACCGAGGAGCCCCGACCAAATCCAAAAACAGGTGAGATGGAAATTCATGCCGTATGTAAATATTGTAAAAAGTACTTTTCTAATAAAAATAGTGGGGGTATTGGTCATCTGGATAGACATTGGAAAGTATGTCTACCGTTGCACCAAGGTGGGAGTGTGGACTCCCACTAACAAATACTATCACTCACATCACAGGAGTTATAAAATTTTACATACGATGCACAACGTGCTCGTGAGACACTAGCTAAATTTCTAGCTAGTGCCGAATTGCCTCTTTCTTTTGCAGATGATGCCTCGTTCGAAGAATTCATCCAGACAACCTTTTGCCCACAATTTAAACGGGTAAGTAGAAACACAACTCGTTCTGATTGCATGAAAGTTTTTTATGCAATGACCCAATCTCTTGGTGATAATTTTAGGACTTTTAATGCTACTGTCTCTTGCACTTCTGATCTGTGGGAGGGGTGCAATAAAACTGGATATTTATGTGTCACAGCGCACTACGTTGATGACAATTAGGTTTTACAAAAAAAAAATAATTGGTTTTCGTTTATGTCCATACCCTCATAACGCAACAACTATTTTTAATACAATAATGGAAATTTTTGGGTTTTATGGGATAGAAGATAAAGTTTTAACAATTACTTTTCATAATGCGTCAGCTGATACAGCTGCAATTAATCTGTTTAAACGTAGTTTGAAACCAGCATTTGGAGAGGAAATTTTTCATCAACGGTGTGCATGTCACATAATTAATTTAGTAGTTTAGGCAGAAATTTAACATATCTCAGTTAATCTTACAAATATTAGAGAATCATTATCATTCATATCTAGTTCTCGAGCTCGGCTCTAAGAATTCAAACAATATTATAGGAACAGCCAGATGCGCCCAAGAAAGTTTCCAACTAACGTGAGACATAGGTGGAATTCAACATATTTAATGTTGAAGGCAGCACTCCCGTATTCACAGCTTATCACGACATACGTAAACAGTAAGAACGATCAAATTTTAATTTTCGATCCTGATTGGCAGATTGCTGAGTATTCTTTTAAATTTCTAGAAGTTTTTTATAATGCTACTGAATTACTTTCTGGAGTTGATTATCCTACTACACATTTAGCTTTACATCAAGTATTTAATATTTCAGAAACATTTTCTTATTATAGGGATACAAAACTTTTTGGAAATATAGTTAACTTAATGGAAAATAAATTTAAAAGTTATTGGTCAGGTTGTCCCATGTTATATGCATTGGCAACCATTTTAGATCCTAACTGCGGAGTAGATGGAACTGAATCATTGATGACTGCTACCGCAGAGAATTTAAAAATAGATATTCTTGAAGAAGAAAGAGAAAACGGCAGGATCGTCCTCAATACAAGCGTCTACGGAACTAGTCAAATATTTTGAAGCAAATTTTGTAATCGATGACGATAAACTAGACATCTTACAGTGGTGGAAGAGCAAGACTGATCGTTTTTCAACACTGTCCATAATAGCTCGTGACATTCTTACAACTCCAGTGTCAACGGTAGCATCGGAGCAAGCTTTTATCGCAAGTAATCGAATTCTTGACGAGAAGAGAAGCAGAATGCATCCAGATGTCTTGGAGGGACTACTAATGTGCGTTAAAGACTGGGAAGATGTCAGAAGACGAAAACAAGAATACACAGATGATTCGATGCAATAATATTTTTCTAACTTAGAAATAACAGAATCTTCTAGAAGCACTTAGGTTTGTAATTTACTATTCCTAGCTACTGCACTCTTTTTTCCTTCGCTAAAGTTTTGTCCCGATCTCCCCACGGGTTTTACTTAGCAAGATTTTTAACGAGACAGTCATTTATGTGTACTCTTATTACGTCAATTCAATAAAATCACATCTTTTTGGGGCATATGATATATTTTTTTTAATTAAAATTTAAAAAAAATACAAGGGCCGGGGCCGGCCCGTGAAGGGCCTGGGCCCAGGCCCGGCCCTGGCCCTTATGGACTAGAGCCAAGGGCCTGGACCGGGCCCGAGTTTTTCTTCTCAAGCCCGGCCTAGGCCCATAATGGGCCTGGGGTCAAGTGTGCCGTGCCGGCCCGGCCGGCACGTTTGACATCTCTAGCTTTAAGAGACTAAAAAGCTCTCGTTCCAGGGTAATTTTTGGGGGAATTGTTTAGATCTGACTGTATTAGCTATCGAGGTTTTCTCTCCATTCATCCATGGATTTGGCTTGGGGTTTGGTTCGATGTGACCATTCCTTGTCCCTCTAATTTTTTACTGCGTCAATTTAATTGTGCATCTCCTTTATAAAAACAAAACACTATAATGGACCGTTTCATCCCTTTATATATTTACATGCATTAAGAACAAAGTATAACAGCAGTATAATGGAATAAACCTCTCGATTCAATTGAAAATTAAGAATGTTGAACAATCATAATTCGGTTATATCGTAACTTAAGAAAATAAAGTTAGAACGTAACTGAAAAATTAAACATCCTAAACCTAATTTCTAGCCTAAGAGAAAAGACAAAAGAAAGAAACTGTTTGTGAATTTGAAGGAACTCCTCCTCCTATAAATTCGTCTTCTCCTCCGTTGTGTCTCTGCAGCCAAAAAGTCCCTAAATAAACCCTAAAATGTTCTATTTATACACTTGAGTTCGTATGATCGTACAATTAGAAACAAAACAGCAATTTTTTTAATCTCTTGCATGTGGGCGCCACGGCCTTCCTTTTTAGTGGATATCAATCTAGTTGGGATGTGTTATTTATTATTTTTTAAATACGTAATTTTCTCGATCTCATGATTTATTTTTTTACGTAATTTTTCATATAACTACAGGTTAATACAGCAAATGCACTAAAATATATACAAGATGGCGGAAAGAAAAAAGAGGAGGAAGAAGAAGAAGAAGAAGCGGTTTTGTACTTTAATTCCCTTAGAATCATGTTACAAATCTTTGACTGATTCAATAACCCATGAAAACCAGTTTGTTCAGCTTAAATCTTGTCCAGTATTATTTGCTTCAAAAATCTGGTAGGGGAAAAATTAAAGAGTGAGCTCATCAAGAGCCTAGTAAGTAAGTAACTAATGATTTTTTTTTTTAATTACTATTAGTAGTAGTTGGATCAAACACAACTAGAAAACATAAAATTTAATACAATAATTTTTTACCAATAAACCACCTTTTCAGATATGACTGAATTTAGAATTTAACTATTTCAAAACCATAAGCTGAATATCAATATCAGAAGTGTTAGCAAAGATGAAGATCTCATTCGCTTCGTGGATTCGAGTTTTCAATTCGAACTGAGATATAACATTTTCTAAGAGCTTATAACAGAAAAAGTTAGATGTAACATTTTTTGAGAGCTTTTAACTATAAAACTCTAAAATTAAAAACTCGAATCGGTGAAATAAACAAGACCGAAGATTGCCTCTACAGATCCTACCAGCTCAGCTCAAGTGCAAATCGTGAAATTTTTGGGCCACTTCTATAAAGTCGGGGTTTGACAAATTATACTTGAAGTTCAATATTTTTATAATCATTAAACATTTTATGCTCCGTTTGTTTTGAAGGTTTTGATCTGGTTTAAAATCATGGTTCTTAGTTCGCTACAGTATTTTTCTCTCACGAAAAATTTAAATTTCAAAAATCAAAATTATGAACCATAGTTTGAACCTATGAACCAAACGTCACTTTACTCTAAATGATGCAATAGACAGTAGAGTTACTTAACCCCACAAGTATATATCAAATTCGATTGAAGAAGTGATAGGTAAAAATCTAGCCCAACTTATGTAATTATTTTTTATGAACGTATTGAATATTGAGGTATTGCGTGCATCATAACTATATATATATATATATATATATATATATTACCTTACTGTTCTCTATGCATATTTCAGCATTGCTCATGGTAAAAACTTTAATTGGAGACTGATTATGAACAACATATACTGGGTTTTCAGAACAGATTCAATCATTACAATTTCATCGGATAATTACACTACAATTGGAGACATGACCATCTTTTTTGCTTTCATTACTTTTGTGATTGGCCATAAACCCTTTTTTCCCTTTCTTTATTATTACTATTTTTTTAACTTTTTTGTGGGATATTCATATTATTATTCATATACCATTGCAGTCTTATTGTTGTGGACTAATGAGTAGGGATGCTTGTATTTCTTCAAGACTACGCCCCTTGGTCTCTGGTACCATCTTCCAAACGAACAATACACTAGCACCAGACATGGCAGCATATATGAAAAACGTACCTGAACAACTCATTTAAAAATAAAAATAAAAAAAAAATGTTACAAAGTACTGATAAAAAAAAAATTTATTGGCAATTTGTAGAAAATAATGAGGAAATCCTCCTCACCTGCTGAATTCCATTCAAATATGAAGTTGAAAGTGTAGGAAATAACCCAACCACTAATCAAAGAAACCACACTTGCTATACTACCAGCTGCCCCCTTTATGTTCACCGGAAATATCTGAACAAACACATCAGTCATTACAAGTGGATCAACCAATTTTCCATATAAAATTCGGCTTGGTTAAGTTTATTCATAATATTAATGTCATAAAATTAATAACACCATATATATATATATATATATGTATACATACCTCCTTCGATATGATCCATGGTATTCCTTCCATACCTAAGCTGAAAAAGCCGAAGTATACCTGTATATAATTTTAGTTCCTCATATATTATTCATTTTTAGCCATAAATGTTTCACCTAGCGAGTTACAAATTAGAGGAATTAAATTAAAAATATTTCAAAACCATTTTTTTACTTTGTGGTTAAAAATGCAAGAGTAAATTACCAGTATACCGGCAAGCCCCAAAACAGGAGTAATCTTCTCTCCAAAGTGAAGACCCTGATGAAGACACACTTCAATGTCAAGAGTCTCTACAACAACATTATATTATAAGAGAATACAAAATGCCTAAATGATCTTAAAATTATTATATAAATCTTTTCTTTCAAATCAAAACCTGCAAGAAGAATGACAATCCAAGAATAAAAGAACCAAAGCATGTCCCGGCTGCAGATATCTGCAAGAAAAAGAATTGATTTCAGCACTGAAATATCTATTAATTAGACTGATCAAATTTGAAGACATTTATTTCTGTTGATCTCTTTTTACCAGAAGAAGCGGTCGCCTTCCGAACTTATCTATGAAGCAAACTCCGAGTATCGCCGACAGAATCTGTCATAGAGTAGTACTTAATTGTCTTTGGGAAGAGAACAAACATTGATACATTAGGTTCAGCTACATTATCTATAGATCATGTTACCTCAGTTGTTCCAACTGCAATGCTCCCAATCTCACTTGAAAAACCTGTCATAAAACAATATTATGGGCGTGTTTGGAACTTGTTACAAAATGATTTTATTTTTTGTATGAAAATGAAAATAAAAACGTTTTCAATCTCAGACATAAATCATTTTTAAAAATGCATTTGGTAATTTTATTAAGAGATTATTTTTAGTGTAAAAAAACCATTAATGTCTTTCTTTCTCTCTCTCTCTGCTCGAGAGGAGAAAACGAAAACAAAAAATAAAAAATGACTAAAAGTCATTTTTTATTTCTCTCTTATTTTACATTAAACTAAAAAATCGTTTTCATTTCTGTTTTTGGTCTTTATTGCGCCAAACGCCGTTTTGAAAACGTTTTCATTTTTTTCTCAAAAAAGTGAAAAATAAAAACAGAATCAGTTCCAAACACAGCCTATGCTTTCCTTTTAATTGTTCTATCTCATTTACTCAAAAATTGGAAGTGTAAAAGTTAGGGGGCGGGGGAAGAAAAATAAGATGTTTATAATATTTTACCTGCAGACTTGATGATTGAACTTGCATAAAAGGAAATCCCACCAAGTCCTCCAAGTTGTCGGAACGCCACAAGGCCTGTTCCAACCTGGTGCAAGTTTCCCATAAACAAACATGTATAAAAGGAATATGTATAAGTATAAATACAAATATAAAACCTATATGAACCAAACAAGGGCTATGTGCATGTAATAAAAGGTTACTGCTTATGTATTTTGACTTACAATGAGACAATATGAATACTTCCTCTGGAATACACTTAAAATTCCATCTCCAGAGACCCTTTTAGAATATTCTATATAATCCTGCAGAATGGTAAAAATCAGTCTCATTCTTTTGTCCGAAGAAGGGCAATAAACATTTTCCTCAAAAAAAAAAAAAAAAGTAGGTAAAAGATTCGAGAATGAGATGAAGTTATCAGTGCAAAAGTATCACTCTGATCTCAGCTGTCTCTTGAGATATATTCGCCTTCTCTCCCCTAAGGCGGCGTAGAGCACTTTCAGACTTCTCGGCTTGACCAATTTTCATCTGCAAACCACAAAGAAACTATCAGATTGTGTGACTCTTTTTTCTTTTCTTTTTTTTCTTGATGTAGATCATGCAAGAAAATTAACCAAAAGTTAAAACAGATTTTTGAAATTTATTCACATAACTTTGAATCACGTACCAACCATCTAGGCGACTCAGAAATGAATAAGAGGCCTGGCAGCTGTAACAAATAGGGAACAAGCGCTGCAAGCAAGTAAATTCACATACAATATGCATTTTTTCAATACATAGAAAATTAGCATTCTCTGTAGTTAAAAGCTCAAAATAAATGATAAAACAAGAATAATTGACCTGTTAGTGCTAAGATACGCCAGTTGACAACAGGACCGATAAAGAAAAAGAGTGCTTTGCCACTGCTCATCAGCAGCTATGCATATTGAGAATACATAATAAATGACAGACAAAAATTCATCAGCAAAAGATTCATATCTTTACTAAGTGATCTCGAACTGAAACTCGAATTGCTAGATACATACAGGTTTCACTGACATTAAGGCTCCTCTCACGGTTTTGGGGGTGATTTCGGCAACATATATAGGTGCCTGAGCAGAGAAAAAAAAAAAGTTGCATACATAGAGTCAGAATTCATGTATTATGTAACCAGTTATTAAGCTTTAGGTGATGAACTTCTACGGTAGTTACCGCATAACAACTAAGTCCCACTCCGCATCCAACTAAGAATCTTCCAAAATCGAGCCACAAAGCATCCTTTCATTCAAACATTAAACATAATGTTACTACTTTGATGGAGGGTTTATCACACTTTGTTAATAGACACAATTGAGCAATGAGTAAGAAAGGGAAACCTTCGAAAATGCTATTGCAAGCCACCCCGTGATGCAGAATAAATCTGTAACTCCCATTGTCTGCATCTCAACATCAACCAATTAACAAAAAGTCTGCAGTGATAAAACTAGATAATGTTTTAAGAATATGTGGTCTGAACATTTAAAGCTCATGTGAGAGGATGAGTTACTTACACCTCTCCGACCAATAAACTCCGCAACTTTCCCACTCCATACTGCTCCACATAGTGATCCAATAAGAAAGATTGAAACAAAAACGGAGTACTGCATCATTTAGTACAAAATCTTCACTGAGAGATAAAAAAAAAGGTGATATTCCAATCTGATCTATGCTACTAATCCACTATGAGAAACCATTATATGAGTTCAAAAATGATCAAGTTGAAATAATTCAGTGAGTAACACATGGAGAGACTCCGATAACAATTGTTGCAAACACTTAAAGTAGAGTTCACCATTGAAATCCAGCTCAAAGTGGATAGGTGCTTAACAGATCATATCTCAACTAACTATTTGTCTACTCTTGCAGCCCATATGTGGCATTAGGAAATTCAAAATCTTCATGAATTAACCGAATGCAAACACTGTAACCGTAGCAGTTTGAGTTGGTTGCAGAGGATTCAAGATGGTTTCTACTTGAATTTTCATTAGTTTCAATATAGTTACACTCCGATGCAGCTAATAAACTCAAACAAAAAGAAGGAAAGCAATGCACACATCTTGTCTCACATCTGCTAAATCGAGGCCAAGGTCATTCAAAATTCCAGACTCAGCAGGTGATGAATATCCAATCTGCAAATCATATATAGAAGAATAGGCTTATTAAACACACTCAATTCAATCAGCTCGAGGATTTTATCAATTGATCAGACTCATCAGAGTACTCCCACTTGACAAATCTTGATTAACTCTAACAAACACGTAAATGATGAATTGAACCCATCCCATCTATTGATTCCTCTACAAAAGTGAATGAAATAGTGATTACGGAATTTCCACCAGCAAAAGAAGAGCAATAAACAACGATACAGCTAAAACCGACAACGATTGTGAGCGGGGCGGACGATGAGATCTCACTGCCTTGGCCGTTGTAATTCTCAAGTAATGGCTTCTTCACAGCTTCTCCTTTTTCCATGCTTTCTTCTCTATTGCGTAGCAATCTTAAGCCAGATGCAACTGCGGTTCTAACTTTAATGAATTCTGATAGAAAGATCTTTTTTTTTTTTTTAATTCTTTCAGAAAATGATTAAGCTCAGGGGGGAAAAAAATCTTTTATATGTTGCTCTCAGAAGTTTTTTTTTTTTTTTTTTAATAAATAAGAATCTTATTCTCAGATGGCCAAAACAGAAGTGCTCTTTCTTAATGACCAACTCTTCTTTTTCTGTTTTTTTTTTTTTTTCTTTTTATGTCAAAGAAGAATGTTGCCAAAATTTTGGGCACTCAGTGGAGTCGAAGTGTGTAGTGCCCACGCATTGTACAACCAAATACGACAATAAGATTGGCACGAATAGGAAGCCTTTTAGTGAAAAGACAGCACCCATATTTGCACAGTACTAACGAGATTCCTTTTGTACAATGTCCCATTCAAAAAAACAGTTTAGAAAATTAGGGTGCGTTTGGTTGGTGTATTTGTGTCATGATTCGTGGTTCGTTACAGTATTTTTTTACACAAAAAATACACATAAATTAAAAATAATTTTGAATCATGATTTTAGATCCATGAACTAAACGTCCACTAATTTAAAGTATAAAATAAAAGGTTTATATCGGTCTCCGAGATTTACTTTAATCTTATTTTGATTCTTGATTTTTAAAACGTTTCAGATTTGATTTTTGAAGTTTTATTTTATTTTAATTTTAATCTTTATATTATTTAAGTGTTAAATATTTGATGAAATTTGTATAAATTTAAGATCAAAATTAAAACATTCAAAGTTTAAGGACTAAAAAATATAAAAAATAAAAGTTGATTTCCATTCATAATCTCTAAATTTTAAATGTTTATAATTTTAGTCCTTCATTTACGTAGATTTTGTCAAATATTTTACATTTAGCTAGCAAAGGATTGAAACTGAAATAACAAAAAAACTCAGAATCAAAGATGGGACGTTTTAAAAGTCATAGGTCAAAGTGAGATTGAGAGAAATGGAAAGGAATATTACAAGAGAGAGAGGAAAGAGGGTTGGGAATCATGGAGAGGGTTCTTAGATTATGGAATTATTTGAGAGGTATTTTTGTGGACATCTTCTTGGAACTAAACTGGTGAAGAAAAAAAAATCAAAAGGGTTTGGGGGGGTGTTTATAATTGTCATTTTCTCGTCTTCTGTTTGAATTTGAGAGGTTAATTGTATCTCGAATTCATGTAGGGTTTGCAATTTTTTTACTGGGAACTAGTATCGCGTTTTGTTGTTGTCAGTTTCTAAATGCCAAGTTCATAAACAGATTGCACAGTGAAAATATCTACATTGATATATCTGTTTCTAGAACTTCAAAAGAATTTAAAATCTACAACCCGTTCATTTTACCTATTCGAGTTTTATTACAGTAAAAAGTTCTAAAAAACAGTCACATCTAACATTTTTACTACAGTAAAAAACTCTCACATAAAGTCACATCTTAACTTGAATCAACGAACTAAACATGCCCTATAAGTCAAGTTTATTTCACTAAAAATATGAACATATTTTCATATACGTGTTTTGTTTATGAAATTTTCATATACACGCGTGTTTACATACAATGTGTACCAAAACCAAAATAATAATAATAATAATAATAAGCACAACGCCATAACTGTAGACATCACTCCTTTCGGATAATTGCCCATACAGACCATATTCTGGGGCAACATAACCAAGGGTTCCAGCTACCTTTGTGCTCAAATATGAACGTCCTTCTTGAGTGAACTTTGCGAGGCCAAAATCAGTCAGTTTCGGCTTAAATGATTCGTCTATGAGTATGTTACTAGCCTTAACCTCTCTCCTAATCCGATAATGTAGATAAGCTAATCCACGGGCCATTCCAAGGGCGATCTTTTTCCGAGCTGACCAGCTAAGCTTCTTCCCTCCTAATCCGAAAATGTGGTCATAGAGGCTCCCATTGCGCATCAGTTCGCAGACAATTATTCTATAGTAGCCTTCAACTGGCACCGTCATCGTACAATAGCCTCTCAAAGCGAAATGGTTCACATGCTTAACACTGGCAATAACCTCAACTTAATGGGCAAAAATTTCATCCCAAGCTGCAGAGCCGTTCTTGAACCTCTTGAATGCAACTTCAGACCCGTCTGCTAAAACCCCCTTGTAAACATTCCCATACCCTCCCAAACCAATTATGTTATCCCTAGAAAAATTGTTTGTAGCCTTCATTATCTCCTCTAGTGTGAAACGAGCAAACGTTTTATTCCCACTAACCATTTCCGTTCCTGAAAAAGAAGCAGTCTCAACTTGTGCCAAATTTTCCTTCCTCCTCGTCTTCCTCCTATTGTGCCATAACCAAAGACACCAAACCCACCACAACCGCCCCAAAAAAACCGTTGATACACCCCACCATAATCCCCATAAGCATCGCCCTTCGGTTTCCAGGCCCGGGTTTTACCCGAATAAAATCGACCAAAAATAAACACTTGGCAGTCCATACATCAGTTGGCCCAAACCTATTAGCAAAGGCGCCTGCATACATAAACGGATACGCATTGCAAGTCAAAGAATTCTCACTCCCCGCGCCGTGAAAGTACGTGTTGTGGACGCCCAACGATCTATCCGAACATGATCTGCAGAGGCGATCGTCCTTCAAAGACTGATTACACAAAACCCTAGTCTGCTCCAACTGATCCCCTGAAAAGAGGGCTTCGAATTGGGACCTATTCTCAATGTTCATACAAGTATCCGAAAGTAAATTGCTATTAAACCCACAAATCGACTCAATTGAAAGCTTAGGCACGTAATTACTGACAACATTCAAGTATAATGTCCAAAAAATCTTTGATTTCTTCTGGGGAACAGAAAAGAAACCGGTGGATCGAAGATACTCCGATCGAATCATACTGATTCCTTGAACCGTGTACTGGCATCCCGTCGCGTTATCTAAAGATGGAAACTTTTGATGATCTTGCACCATGAGTTTTCTTAAAGCATCAAAATTCAACGAGCAATTATCATATTCGTCCAATTTCTTGGCCGAAATTTCACTGACGAAAGCTACAGGATTGGGAAATTCAAACCCTAATCCGATAAAAAAGGAAGAAAAAAAGAGACATTTTTTGGGTTTCTCTCTCCCTCTAGGGCTTTGTAGAGAAAGATTCAACGATCTCCATTCTGGGGTTTCTTCACTTTCTTGCAAAAAAGAAGTCCCAAGAGACTTGACTATTTTGCTTTTCTGAAGTGAAGCGAGAAATTCTCTAATTCGAAAATTCGGTTCCTTGACCGTTTTTTGTTGGAGGGAAGTGGAACGGGGATCCTTGGGTGTTTCTAGTTTCTACTAAGACCTGCATTAACTGTTGTTTACGTCATCTGACTCTTTGTGGAGGCGATTTTGCGCCGTCCGATCTTTTGACGAATTTATACATTGACTCAAAGATCAACAAATCAACATTGACTTTGTTTGTTTTGTTTGTTATTTATTTATTCATCTTTATTTTTAGCCATTGGCAGTGTGGCTGTGTGTGACCGACTTGGAGACCTGTTCTTTTCCTCGTGTCTTGGTTCTCCTTTTCCTTTTATAAGCGACAGTGTTTCTAGAATCTTGAAAACGCTTTCATTGTTCATAATATTTCAATTTTTAGCCAATAGACAAGAGAAAAAACAATTTGGACGGTTGAGAAAATAAATTCTGTCAGCTACACTTGAAGCAAAACTTTGGTTGATATCAATTTAAGTCTTTAGATCAAATAATTGTCAAGTATGTTTGTACTGATTTGAACTTAATAAATTCTGCGATTATCATCTTCTTTTTTTTCTCTTTTTTTCACCCGGCACTGTTTACTAAAAGTTTAGATAATCTTAATAAATACTCATTAAAAGTGTTTTTTTTCTCTTTTTTTCACTGGGACGCGCTGCTTGCTAAAAGTTTAGATAATCTTAACAAATACTTATTAAAAGTATATGGGTTAAAATTTGTATCATTTACTTTTAATTTATAACTTTTTATTCAAATAATTATATTAATAAAAAGATATTTATTAAGAGTAAACATAAAAGTTCAGACTCGTACAATTTTAAAGGTAAATTCTACAATTTTCTCAAAAAAAAAAAAAAAAAAAAAAAAAAAAAACCTCATTCCCTTTGTTCATATGGGCCTTCTGATTCAATCGATATACATGGGCTTAGGTAATCTCTACTGTTAGGCCTTGAATAAACCTTCCCCATGGGCCCACATCAAGCATGGATTTACATGATGGTCCAAAGAACTCTTTATAGACAACTGTCACAAGTTTTAGACTTAAATTAACATATGTTCAAGGACTAAAACTTTTATAAAATATACTACGACTACATCATCATATTATATTTAAAATACCAAATATACTTTCAATATATTAGCCGGTATCCACCATGATACCCATTGGTTTCCATGGTCGATACCAACTGGTATCCACTGTCGATCAACAGTTTTTAGCTAGTAACCACAGTGATATCGGCCGCCAGAGGTTGCCGGTTGTCAGCCGGTAATTGCTGGTATCCAACCGAAATACCTCTAGTATCCGATGACAATACCACCTAATAATGGTGGTATTCTTGCCAATTACCTACGGTATCTTGATCGGTAACCGTCATGATTGGTCTTATTTCGGCAATCAATGTCGCCGGTGTACCAAAAAAATAAAAAATAAAAAAAGGAAAAATTACAAGTTGCCATTAGTATCTGCCACGCTAACGTTGCCGCTTAAGATACCGACTGATATCTGCTAAAGATACCAGCTGGTGACAACCAAGTCACAGGTCGGTAACCACCCGAATCTGCCCCATTTTCAGTGGCCGGTAGTCACATTCGAAAACCATATGATAAAAAAAACCCCTGAAATCACAAAGATTCACAAAAAAAAAATCCATAAAATCCTTTACAAACTATACAGAAATTACAAAAAAAATCAAAAAATTTACAAACTTAGATGAGGGCAAAAAAAAGAAAAATCAC